GCAAACTAGGGGGTATGACTATATCTGATTCATTCAAATTATTTAGTTCCAACATTGTGCCTATTTAATTATATGGTTGTGAAATCTGGGGTTATGAGAATGCTCCTCAAATTCAACAACTTCAGAATCAATTTTGTAAATTCCCTACTAATAGCTCAAGCGATTTATCAGCTTTTGACTAGTGTGGTCGATTTCCTCGCTATGTTTTTTAGCTCCGATGTCGACACAGAGGAGCTGTTCATATTACTGATTGTCCGTCGTCATCTGTCGTCCGTCAACTTCACAATTTCAATTTCAACAAGTCAGAAAGTTTTCGAATTTGGATGGTTCTTTCTCAGATTTGTTCATTTCATGTCAAAATCTCAAATTCTCTATTTTTGGTGAATATTTTTGTCTTTTTTGGTAAAAAGTGATGTTTTCGACTTCTTGTTAAAAACAATAAGTTCGATTGCTTTGATATTGCATATAAAGGTACCACATGTAGACCTTTCTCGGATTTGTTCATTTCGTGATGATATCTTTAATATTTTCGACTTCTTTTTAAAAACCAAAAGTCAAATTGCTTTGATATTACATATATAGGTACTACACGTGAAGCTCTCTCAGATTTGTTCATTTCGTGATGATATCCTCAATTCTCTAATTTTGGTGAATATTTTTATCATTTTTGGTAAAAAGTAATATTTTCGACTTTTTGTTAAAACCCGTAAGTCCGATTGATTTGATATTACATATATAGATACTACATGTGAACTTTTCTCAGATTTGTTCATTTCGTGATGATATCTTAAATTCTCTAGTTTTGATGAATATCTTTGTCATTTTTGGTAAAAAGTGATATTTTCGACTTCTTGTTAAAAACCATAAGTCTGATTGCTTTGCTATTGTATATATAGGTACTACAGAAAGATCTCTCTCAGATGTGTTCATTTGATGATGATATCTTCAATTCTCAAATTTTAAAGATTATTTTTGTCTTTTTTGGTAAAAAGTGATATTTTCGAATTCTTGTTAAAA